ATAAAGTAAACAGGTATTGACTTTAGTGTTAGCGTTTCCAGGCTAGCGAAGGCGAAGGGAAGATTTAGAGCTCTTTAAAAAACGTGTGAAATGAAATATGTAGTTGATCCGCGCGTCGCATCGCATGAAAGGCGGGCCGGCCACATCAGACGGACCGCCGTTCTCCTGCCGCAGGAGACAGGCGCCGTATGACACCGCGGCGCACCTTGGCTTTACGTGTTCAGGTGGCAGATCTTTTTTTTTCTTTCCTCTAATTTTTTTCTCTTCTTTCTGCTTTTTACCCCCATTTTTTCTCCTTTTTTTTTTTACTCGTTTTTCCCCGTTGTTGTTTTTTTCTGACATTGATAGTGGTGTAATGTATCCTTTGTGTGTTCTTGCTGTGGTTGTTTGTTCTCGGTTTGGTGCGTCGTGTTTGTGTGTGTGTATTTATGTGCGTATTCCAGTGTCTGTGTCTGTGTACGTGTACGTGTGCACATAAAGTTGCTTTTATATCTGTTTGTTTCATTTACCTCTCTGTCTCTGTCCGTTTATACGTCGAAAAGTTGCTTGTCACCGTGCAATGACTGTCCTTGATAAAAGCCCTGCCATAAACGCCTCCTTACGTTGCGCGTTGCTTTACGTCACGATCCCACAGGCTCGTGACGGAGCGATAACAAGAGGCAGCAACATGGATCATGCGAAAAAATGAACGTCGTCAGGACTTCATTCTTGCACCTTTTATTGTCAGTAACGTTAGTATCGTTAGTATTGCAATGGCATACTCGTAATTAAGGATGCACACCTGTGAATGCATCAAAGTGAGTCGCGGCGGCTCCGGGAGGAGCGAGAGAGCGAGAGTGCGTCCGTGTGTGCGTATTGAGCGGCGTGTGTACATCGTGTGCGTGTTCTAGGCGGCGACCTTGGACAGTTACGTGAGCCCCGAGGAGTCTAGAAGCGAGCGTTTGTTTCGTGTCGGTTTTTTCTTCCTCTCGGGCTGTGCATTCTCCCTGAACCTGGATCGGGCTCTTGGGCGTCGCAGGTATCCGTCACAAAGGATTTTTTTTCTTTTTTTATCCAGTCAGTCTATCTATCTGTCTATCTATCAGGATATCTACATGTCTTTTCTCTATATGTGGCTCTTCTTCGTTTTATCATTTCATATTCTTTCTATTTTTTTATTGTTGTTGTTGTTGTGGATTTATTATATCTGACTCTTCTTGTCCATCTGTCTCTCTATTCTTTCTTCGTCTGAACACATACAGGAGTGAAAACAGTTCTCTGCCGCGCCCGGTCGACTGCTGACAGATCGCCTTGTCGTATTTGTTGTTCTTGTTTGATTTCATTTCTTGCTTTTGTTTTTTCCTGGTGTTCCTGTTGCGTGGAAAGGGTTTCGGTCACCTGGCGGCCCAGAAGGCGCTTGCAAGGTGACTGCGAAGGTTACTTGTCAGTATTTGATGGAATGCGTGATCGTTACGCCCCGTTCGTCGGGATATGAATGATACGTGTTTGTTTGTCCGTTTTTAATTAAATTCTCTTGTTTGTCTCTCTCTTTAGATATTTTGCTTGTTTGTGTTTTGAGGGCTTTTGTTTACGTTTTTGTACATATCCGTTCGATCGTGCATGTTTGATTTTGCATTTGTTTGTATATTTACATCGTGCTGTCTGTTGACATTTCTCGATCCAAAACTGGCCTCGTGACTCATGAAGGCAAATGACGCCGGCGTTGAACTCGAGCCTTTGTCATTTCTCCTCGTCAGGGCTGTCCTTTGCAAGCTTTTTTTCCTCTCGCCGCCTTTTCACTGAATGGCGTTCGTCTCCCTGTTCCGAAGGCTTTTGAGTTCTTATTACGGGGCCGCGGTTTCGGTTTTCAGAAGCAGTGTTTGTTTTTGAAAAAGATTATTATGATCTCTCTAAGGTATTAGAAATATCTCCCCTTAGGCCCTAGTCTCATAATAAAAGAATCTTCCAGAAATCGTAAGCTTCTTTATCAATGTTTGTTTTGTCTCCTTCCCCTCCGCCCCGTCCCTTATCTCTTCCACTCCTTCCCTTGTCCTCTGCCCCCCCCCCATATCTCTTCCATTTCCCCCAATTTCCCTTTCCCTACTTTCCTTCTCCCCCCCCCTTGCCCCCCCCCCCCCCCTCACCGGCGCTACGATCACCCTCGCAGAAACCGGCGCGTCGAAATTCCGTCTCGCTCGGTCAAAAAGCCTAACCGGTCGTGGTTAATTGATCATTAGTGCCATATAATTGGATCATTATTACCTTGTGAATTGATTCTGATTATTACCTTTATGGAAACAGTGTTACGGCTGGCCTGTCTCTTTTCGGCTTGGCTCGGCTTCCTTCAGGCTTGATTACGCACGCTACCTGTCCATATAGTGATCCGCGGTTTGACTTGGCTTGGCTCCGCGTGGCTTGGTTCGGATTGGCAGCCGAGGGCTTTCGAGCCAGGCGCTGGGTGTGTGTGTGTGTGTGTGTGTGTGTGTGTGTGTGTGTGTGTGTGTGTGTGTGTGTGTGTGTG